TGCCTCACTCCCCCCCCCCCCCCCCTCCAGTTTATTGATGGTCGACTATCAAAATTAAATGCAGGAAGAGGATTCTCTGATGTTTTTGAAGAAGAAATCACAGCAGGAGGCTTTTGTGGAGGTACAGAATTAATTTGAGTGTACTCATTGACGCTTCTTTGGGAACTGTTCAACATGATGATGTCCTCATGATGTCCCGTAAATTTTTCAAGTCATTAATTGTAATACTGCTTCATTGTTTCCATTCATTCTTGGAAAGGTTTTAGCCTTTAACAAATCACTGCTGGTGCACATACTATTATGTATCTCATTATATCAGTATATCAAATGAAGATATGTTTGTTTAATCCAGTAAAATAATACTTGGATTTCAGTATATGATGAAATACCACTGTATTATTTACATTTTTAACTGCATGTTTATATAATATGATACACTCTGTGTAAACTGTATTTTTAAAAAAATTTTGAAATGTGTGGTGCTGAACTTTTTCTAGATAGTTATGTTTTCCATAAACACTTCTAACTTTTTTCACATCTAATTATTTCTGCAGTGCAGAAATCAGAGTGATTTCCTGAATTTTTAGAGAAATTTTCTTTCTCCAGCAAATGTGTTACTCTAAAAAACCAGGAAAAAATTTCAACATTTATATATAATCTGAGAAGGGACAATGGAAGTTTACCTTCTTCATAAACAAAAATATTATTCCTTGTGTTGTTTCCCTCAGCTATGTTCACTGACAATTGTTATAAAGCTTTTCACATTAGCTAGCATACAAAGTTAACCCTGTCGTGGTTTAACCCCAGCCAGCAACTAAGCACCACGCAGCCACTCACTCACTCCCCCCCCCCCCCCACAGTGGGATGGGGGAGAAAATCGGGAGAAGAAGCAAAACCCGTGGGTTGAGATAAGAACGGTTTAATAGAACAGAAAAGAAGAAACTACTAATGATAATAATAACACTAATAAAATGACAACAGCAATAATGAAAGGATTGGAATGTACATATGATGCGCAGTGCAATTGCCCACCACCCGCCGACCAACACCCAGCTAGTCCCCGAGCAGCAATCCCCTGTGCCGCGCCCCCCCCCAGTTTCTATACTAGATGTGATGTCCCATGGTATGGAATACCCCTTTGGCCAGTTTGGGTCAGCTGCCCTGGCTGTGTCCCCTCCCAACTTCTTGTGCCCCTCCAGCTTTCTCGCTGGCTGGGCATGAGAAGCTGAAAAATCCTTGACTTTAGACTAAACATTACTTAGCAACAACTGAAAACATCAGTGTTATCAACATTCTTCACATACTGAACTCAAAACATAGCACCGTACCAGCTACTAGGAAGACAGTTAACTCTATCCCAGCCGAAACCAGGACAACCCATATAGAAGAGTGCGTGCTGAATACATTCCTGATTATTACGAGATTATTGAATGGATTCCTGTTAAACATTTAGTACAGCTCTATTGTTATTTGAGGTATCATAGATGCTATCAAAATATTGGATCAAAATATGCATGACACAGCACAAATACTATTTTATGGTCAGTCTTGAAGCTTCTTCAGTAAACGGAGGTTGTGTGATTTCAGAAAATCCACTGAGCTGTGTGTGGCAGCTTTAGATGGTCCTCCTTTGCAAGACTACCCTGAAATGGGCACATGTAGAGGAGAAGATTTAGCCCCCACAGAGAAACCATCAAGTGGTGCAGAGCCATTCTGCACCTTCTGCAAAATATCTTTTTTATACTCGGAGTACATAAATCCTTTTGTTCAAGATTTTCACTGCCTTCTGCTGCCCTCTGTGTCTTGTGCTATGATCTAGCACGTAATTTGTGGGGTTTTTCCTTGATTACAGTGTGGCTAGTTATACAGAGATTTATTTCTTTTCTGCCTTTTTAGGGTGACTTAACGCTGCTCTGTACAGATTTTAGGCACTGAGCATCCATTATTCAGATAGGTGATGTCAGTATTCAGAGTTTGTTTGCTGACTGCAGTTAGGGGGTCAGGAGGCTGCAATAAAACTGCAACAGAAGCTAGATAAAGCTCGTTTCTTGGCGGTGCTCTGGCAGCCTGTGAACCACGTCTCACCTGGCTCTGCTCAGGAGGGAGTGCTTGGCTTCACTAGCAGTTCTTGGTTAGATTGCACTGTGTGCATACTTTTCAAGTCAGACAAGCCAGGCTGTGGACAAATTGCTTAGGGCACATATTCAGTATTTACATAACTGCTGTCTCATTATCGTTATGAAGTGCAGGGCTAACAATATGTATGCAATTGAGGGTGACATTTTGTGACGCTAATGGGGTAGAACTATGATCTTTTTGCAGAGTTAACTCCCATCAACTTTATCAGGAAGCCCAACGTTTCAAAAAAACAGGTGAAACCTAGCCTTCAGAAAAGTCACAGAAAGTTAGTGTAAGCTACAAGCTGTTAAAAGGACAGGTAAACATATTCTTGGCTATAGAGAGCATAATTTAAAAAAATCACTGAATCAAATGGAAAGTGTTTCTTTAAGTAATCTCTTTTTTAATTTGCATTTTTCCACATATGCAAACATAACTAAAGCAGCACAGAATATTAAGCTGGAAATTGGAGGATAAAACTTAGATTTCTGTTGGGGTTTTTTTTCCAGTAAAGTGGTCAAAACTTACTTCCCTGTGACTATATGTGACAAGAAATGTCAGCCATCTTCATTACAGTTTGCACTTTTAACTTAAATTTTTATTTTCTGTTACATGTGTTATTCTGTGGAAGCATTAGAATTTAGTGATATCTATCTAGTACAAGAATATAGTGATGACTGATTGGCTTAGCACTTGGATTTCTCTTAGAATATATCCACTAAAGTAATTTGTAATCACATGAATTTTACTAAAGCAATCTTTTTTTTTTTTTTTTTTTGGCGCATTGGTCTAATATCAATGGTGGTAGTATAAGGAAAACTGAAAAAGTTAAAACCTTTGAACCTCTTTTAATAATAATTTATTTTAAGGAGTCAGTATTTTCTTGCTAGAGTTTCAGGAGGTTCAACTCTAGCTGAGGATATACAGTGTTAATGTGGCCTTTTCTGTAGATGAGTATCTGTTTTCTTTATTGCCTTCCCTGAAGTCTCTCTACACAACTAGAAGACAGTTAAACTTCTTCGTGATTTTCTGTGATCTCATTTACTGTCTCTAGTAATTTCTAAGTCATAGGCTGTGACAGAGAAAGCTCAGATGTGGAAGGAGTCATGGTTAAGGACACCACAAGCCATATGATATATGAATATTGTTGATAAGAATTTGAAGTTATGAAATGTCATGTCAGAGAAAGTATTTATGGTTCATTGCAATTTCATTAACACACTAGCAGTGGTTAAATTTCACCTTATTATATGTTATTTGCATGCTACCTTCTCTGGTAGTTCCAGGGAGCCAGATCAAAGAAGTAAAAAATGAGTCATTTTTGCTTTAGGTTGCTCTTTGATGTTCTTACTGGAGATGGGATCGTAATAATCATCAGGCTCTCTCCTTTCTAAGTGAGCATTGCTTTCATTTGTGCCATCATTCCTGAGAGTTTAGCTGTCTTAAAATTGCTTGAAAAGAATTTAGTGGAATGGGTGAAAGTGCCTGTTACGAGTTTAAACAGCTCAGTGTTTTTCACCTCATTGAGAAACTTGGGAATACCTTTTGCAATGATCTAGTTAGTTCTCAGCCATGTTCCAGAAGAATGTTTTGGCTTTCCACTAGCCAATGCAATAATTCCACTCAGGCCTTAGTTAATTGATTATTGCAAAGCTTAAGAAGTTTTGAGAACTGTTAAAAGTCTAACATCAAGGATATATCAGTATGGTCCTTTCAAAGTGGATAAACTCTCTGAAAATTCAGCATTCTTGTCAATGTGAATGTCTTGTCTAGGGTTAGTTACAGTTCACACTACTGGAGTGTTCAAGTGACTGATAAAAGTACTCTAAAACTTTCTGAGGGATCAGGGACCCAATCTTTGGTGTTCAGCTGAAGCACCTTTGGGAAATAGTATTCATTTCTTCATCAAGTGCTCGGTGGAATTTAACCCTGTCCCTCATGGCCAGCTTAGTGGCACAGTAGTCCTCAGTAGTCCTACAGAAGCCAGTAGCTCTCACTTGCCTTTTAGAGTTTTTCCTTTGTGAAAGAAAGTAGATACAGTTAATAATTTAAAAGGATTTTTCCTGCACTGGAGTATATAGTTGTGCTGTAATCCTTAGACTTTTCTCTCATTCTTTTTCCTTGGGATGGTCCATCAGCAGTCCATGTCATTTTTGTACTTGAAAGTTTGTCCAGTGGGATTATTACACTTGATTGCAGTTCATTATATGTTATTCTTTCCTTCGAGTTGGTGTTTTTCTTTGTAGACTTTTTTAGCAGAATGTTCCCTTATCGTACTTTTAATTTCTCTTCCTGCCTCAGTTAGAATTAGAAACTCTGTGTGGTGAAAAGATACACTTTTACAAAGAAACTAGAAAACATGAAATAAGAGATACCTAGGGTTTTTTTTCTTAATGAACACATTCTTATCTTTGCGTTCCTTGTCTGTCTGGGAAGAATGAAATTAGTGAATAATCCTCTAAGGGAATTTTTTATGCATATTTGTGAGGAGGTTTGAAACACTCAAAATGTTGAATGTATGTTTGATTGTGTTACATTTTACATTTCTATTTCAGGAAATTCACGATCTTATCAGCAGTGGGTGCATACAGTGAAGGTATAAACTTGGTTAAGTAATTATAACTGGCCATCCTGTTCGTTAAATCTTTGTCTTTTTCCTTACATATATGTAATGGTAAAAGTTCATTCATTTGCAAGGAAAATATAAGTTCATTCTATAATAAAAAACATGTGTATGGTATATGCAATAATTTTGTGGGGTTTTTCTAGAAGATTTAAAAAAACCCCAACCCTCCCATATACAAAACAAATGCCAAAATGCACAAGGTATTTCTGTCTGTATAGTCAGGGATTTCACTGCTTTCTGTATGATGTTACATTCCATAACTGTGAATTAGGTGTGACAGTACAATTTGATATGAAGTTTATAACTTCTAGTAAATAGCAATTTTGTTAATATGGATTTGTGCAGTTTAGCTAGCAGAAGACCCTTTGTGTAACCTTGTTATTCTGCAGGATTAGTAAAATATATTCTTTTAGATTAAGAGAATTTTTGTGTGATTAAATGATAGAGTTCTTTCTGTCAGGTCAAAGTATTTCTAAGTTGCATAATAAATATGATAGGAACACATGAAAAATAGCCATACCTTCTGAATTGATTTTGAAATGGTAACAATGAATGAAGACTGAAAATACATCATTCTCTTAGAATGCATTGATAAATGTGTCAGCTATGATAATGATGTACTGTAACCCTTGTGTAGCTGCAGACAGCACGTTGGGGAGGAAACACAGCTGTGGTTATTCTTACCGATTTAAAAGGAAGATTGTTATTTCTCTACAGCACACTTTATTTTTCCTTGCTATTGTCTTAAGGTTTGACTTGTGTTAAAATGCTCCTAAAATACATTTTTTTGTCTATTTCAGAAAGGTGGTGCACTGATCAACACAGCAGTGACCAAAGCCACTCCGGCTGTGAAAACAGCATATAAATTTGTAAGATCATCTATTTCACATAAATAATACATAAAAATACCACAACTTCCTAGAATCTCCCATTCTTCCTCAATACTAAAAACCTAAGCATTTTATAAATGTATTTCAGAAAAAAACTTTCAGCCTGTAGAAAGTTTTTTCACTTCATTTGTTTTCTCATATAGCACTAGGATTTAGAGTTGATTCAGTCTTCCACATAGCTTGTACATAACAATAGACATTTTCAAAGCATCAGTGTACTGTTTTTGTTTCAGTCGTAATCCATACTAGAAGCTTATTTGAATATCATTTAGATATTTGATACACAGCTGTAAACTCTTCCTAACCTGATGACAACATGATTAAAATACCGACTCTGAAAATAGAAATTCTCATTTACATGAAGGTCCCTTATTTTACCTTTTTTTAAAATACCTGGTGATATAAAGAAGGGCAATTACCTTTATCACGAGTTTTATACATGTGTTATCAGGCATTGCAAAGCTAACATGAGTGTAAAACATTTTGTAAATGTTACATTTATATGTAATATAAATATAATGTTATAGTATATAGTTAGTATATAATGTTAACATGATGTAGAGATCTCTATTCAGAAGAGATACAGTTTGTGCTGGACAAATGGAGTCCTGGCTTACACAGATGCAATTTCACTTTGGCACTAATGCTGCACTATTGAAAAGATGTGTTAAAGCATCAGTAGTGCGTGCAGCAAGTATTTTCTATCATCTGCTCTTTTAAAGATGATACTAGAATACTCACATTTAACTGGATTTAATGCTTATACTTTTGAGCTTAAAAGATCGTGTTTTCAAAGACTGCCTAACCAATAAAGCATGAAATTATATGGTATTATGCAGTATGGAAAAACAGCAATAGTATAAAATGAAGTGGGAAGTATTTTAAGGTTGCATTTTTAATATATGGGAAAAGACTTTTGGCTTCATTTTTGCTTTTCCAAATGTTTCACTAGTTGGATGCATAATAAGTAGTCCTGAATAAATCAGTACAGCAGTCTAAGCTAGTGTATTTTAAGTAAAGTTTTCAAACAGAATTTTTAATTTTACATCAGTTGAAAAACACAGCAGTCGTGAAGAGAAACAGGTAAATAAATTAAATATACTTCATATTCATGGACTTATTTATGATTTAAAAAGTGGTTCCTTAACAGGTTATCTGCAAATTATTATTCTTCAGTTTGTACTAGCTTAGACTGTGGTTACATGACCTTCTCCCAGCCTTCAATTTTGATAATTATGTCCTTGATAATAAAGGTTCTTCAAGGTGAACTTCTGTGTATGCTAGGAAACACTGGTAAATTTGGTGAGGATCTGTGTGTATAAGGTATTGATATTTATACCCCATTTAATTTCTTATGCTTTTGCCCTTTATGGAGCCTACTACTAGAGAAATGAAATCTGCATTTCTTAATTGCTAGATAACTGATTGATAGCCTTAAGTAATGTGCTTGGTACCATCCCTCAGAGTTAGAACAGAGCACTCCAAAATTCATCCAAATGCTGTGAGCATGATCTGGAAAGTTTAAAGTGGCTCTCAGGTTAGCATCTGCTACATGGCACCCCATTGTGCTGTTATTGAGCTTATAGATGTATGATTTAAGGATCAAAAAGGCTCTCTGACCTTTTGATTCAAGAAAATTATTTTCTTTTTCTGAATTTCCATGTATAGAAACCCATAGAAAAATAGGTGGTTTCCACATGTTTATGCCCTTAAATATATTTTTAAAAGTCCTATTTCCAAGACAACCTTGAAAACTTTTTGTATTTTTTTCCAATATTAATTGAAGAAAGATACCTTTTCTTCTATAGGGGTTAGGGCTTTTGGTGTCATCCCCTCATCTTTTGTTTTTTTCTACACTCCCCCTTCTCCTCCCCTACTGCCCCGCCCCATTTTTTTAACATAAGTACATGGTATTCTGTATTGATAATTCATTTCTCTATTGAAGAACGGTCTTGGCTGTTTTCTATGCAACAGTGATCCTTGGCTGCCTGTTTTAATACATACGGAATTCTTCCCTAAATAGCAGCACTATGTTGTTCAGCAACACTGGGCAAAATCTCCATCTGCATATGAAATCACTTCATTTCTCTTAAGATTGATGTTGCCCTGCAAGTTGCCAGACTGGAACACTGTAGCAGTCATCTTGAAAATCTTAACATTTTTCCAACATGCCTTGTTGCTAAAATATCCTTTCAAATTTAAAGCACCATTTGAAATAAAGGAGTGATGTATACAATCATTTTTAGCCTGTCCGTAGTAATATTGGAGAAATTTTGAGTATGTATGTTTTCACAGCACTGGCATGCTGAAAAAAATCCTTAAATATATGGACAAAGCATGAATATATAAAATATGCTGACAATGCATGTATGAAATTTGTATTAAAAGTTACTGCCCTTCTTTATATCATCAGGTATTTAAAAAAAGGTAAAATAAGTATGGCATCATAAAGTATGTTCCATGACTACAGCCAGTGTCTTGCAGAGCTACTTAACTCCTTTTATTTTTCTAGGCAAAAAATCAGGCAAGGCAAGGAATAAAAGAAGTGAAGAGTAAGTTAAAACACAAGGTATGTAGTACACTTTTTACTTTCTTACATTGCTTCCTGTATCAGTTTGAAGCTTATACTTTACAAATCACATGAGATTTGTGTTTTTAATGACTTTTGAAATATGCTTAGCCCTTTGTTCAACAATACATTTTTCATAACGAGCCCTCTGGCAACTATCTGTCATTCTATGCATCCACTGAATAATCTCTTTATTGTTTGCATATTTTATCATAGAACAACAGAGGTCTTCAAAGATACATTAACAGGATGTATGTTTTCATAAAGTTGATTGCTTTGATATCACAATTGAAGCCTTTGCTTCAAGCTGAGAATTTGAGATGGGAGAGACTTGCAATAGAATGTATTTCAGAAGGTGTAGGTGTCCGTTTTGGTTTCATAAGATATGTGAACAATGACAATGTTTAAAAACAAAGGAGTATTTCATTTTGCAAAGCAACATTGCAGAAATGTCAGAAAAGGTGTTTTAAGCATTCTGCAGCTGCTTTTCCCATTGAAAATTTTGTTTCCACATAAGATTTTTCTGTAGGGAGAAGGAACTGGTTTTTAGATATATTTTATGCTATTTTAAGAAAACTCTCAAAGATATTTCCTAGACCTTTGAACAATTCATCTTTTAAGTGACAATGTTGACAATTCATCTTCTTGAAAAGCTAAATTTGATTTTCTTACTACAGATGGTATTTTCATGACAGTAATAGATTGTGGCAAGATAATTTTGAATGCATCCTGCATGCATAATATGGAGGGTACGTTTGCAGATAATGATTATAAATAAAGGAATTTAAATCTGTTTTGTTGCGTAGGAGAGTGAGGAAGAGTATGGAATTTGCAGTGCTGGTGCAGTACAGACTGCTCCCGTCTACACATTGCATTATGAGAAAAGAGCAAACTCAGAAAAACGAAGACTGGCACAGGTAAGAGACCTGAAACTTCTGTTTTTATTCACGTACATATGAAGAAAATTTTTTGCCGCTTACAGTAATGCATCATGAATCTGTTTAAGATTATTTTACTGTCTGTGTTTGGATAGTGTGATTAAAAGGCTATGTTTATACAAATACTGCTACACTGCTTGAATGGAGGAAAAATGCTATTCATATTTCATCCCTGTTGAGAGGGGAAAAACCAGCAGATTTATAAATATGGGTCTGAGATTTAATTCTTAAATACTGTTTTTGATAAAGGCATCTCAGAGCAATGCGTTCTGCTCTATTCATAGGTCTGTGTTAAGCTATCTTTTTTAGTTTCTTATAGTGGGGCACATTAATTTGGTATTTCTTATAAATTGATTTGGCAGTCATACAGCCTTTAACCTTGCTCAGATAGCTATGATTTATTGTTTTATAAGTCAGCTAGTTAATATGGTGACAATCTCTTGTCCTTTTGTTCTCTAATCCTTTCTAGTCTTGACTTGAAGTAACAGGTGTAGGTGTCTCAACTTTGGCAAGTGTTCTAATGGCTTTGGATTAATTTTGACAGTTTTATTTCAATGATATCAATAAAATAATTTTTGTAACACCTTTTTTCTGGGAATAAACACCTGCATATATACATATTTTAATGTGTGGGTATATATTTTTACATTATATTGTTACTGCATATTTTTAATACATGCAATGAATGTTTATATATGGATTTTTAATGCACGTATCTTCCTCATAGGAGAATTAAGTATAGAAATTCAGTCCAGCTGATGTAACAATTGTTTTTTTACTTTAGATATTGCAATGATAAAAATCCAAATTGTCTATTTAATCAATTTGATTTTGAATTAGTTTTTATCCATAATAAATATAAAGTTTGTGAAAGTTAACATAGAACTGATGTAGATTATTGCTAAATGATTATGAAATTGTACGTTAATATTAAGTCATTATTTTTAGTAGGGTTATAAATAATACAAAGACTTTCTGCTTTAATTATTTAGGCAGGTTTTACTTTGTACATGTTTTTGTGATCTCTTAAAGCCAGTGATAAAGTTTTAAACAATGTGCCCTCAGTATATTTTTATATACAGGCGGCTGTGGTGCTTGTATTCTTTTAGGAACTTGTGTAGAATAGATTTTCGTCACTGAGTATCAGAAGAGAAGGTATAAAATTCTAAATGTATGAGTATAGAGCTCTAATGTTAATAACATGAATGGTTCTTAAAATATTTGTTTATAATAGATAACTGTCATTTTAATGTATAGCAACTCCCCCCCCCCCCCCCCAAATAATTTGATAATGTGAGGTACTAAAAAGCTTTTAATGCATTATAAGCCAACATTCACAGATTAGTGTAGGGAATCTACAGTTGTATGTATCTCTGTAAGTATGTAACACAAATGTACCCTTGTAGTCAGTGAATTTTTGTAGGCTGCTTTTATTAAAGAAATTTGCAGCAATTTACTGATATGGTAGTGCTGTCTACTGTTAGGTACAGGAGTCTAGGGATACAAAGAAATATAACTTACCTTGGTACAATTAAACATTTTTTTTGAAGGCCTGTGTTTGGGCAGAACAATTTAACTTCTATATGTTTTTGTGTTTGTACAGCTGTATACTCCTAAATCCTTTAATATCATTGTTGCTGTTTCTACCAGGCGTCTTTTAGTTTTGAAAACAAGATAGGAGGAGTACATATCTATCCATAGTTTTGTTTCCATATATACATATACACATGCGTGTTTATGTATGTGTATACACACATACATATACATGTGTATATATAGAGTTTGTTTACTAGCAATACGTAGATAGAGTTCGTTTACTAGCAAAGCTTGTAACTAATAGCCCCGCAGTTTTGCCCTGCTGCAAACCAAAGGTCCTGTGTCTTTTCCCCAGCTCTAGTCCCAAGTGTCTTGTGCTCCCAGTAGGCAGGAAGGAGCAAATGATGATCGCTCCCCAAGAACTCTGCTCTCGCACCGTTTCCTTCACCTCTCACTCTGGCTATTCCCAATTTTACCTCCTCCCCAAAAGGAAACAAACCAAAACAGTTCTAAAAACAATAGTCTACTGTTGCTACTCTGGTTTTTATTTTTGTTCTTGGTAAGTATTTGAATAAGATAACATAAATGCAAGTTCTTTATGAATAAGTGGTGATTTTAAACTTTACATCCAAATAAAAATATATATTTGTATTCACAAGTGCATGTATATGAGAGAGACTATGTTTGATCTAGTACTGAATCTGCCATTTAAAAGAAGTGAATTTCACAGATTCCTATTGTTGTCAGGTTTAATCCTTTTTTCTGTTAACTCTTTATCCTGCAAATGAACCTCTCCACCCAGATTTCTAAAATGGTGCCCATGAGTGTCTATAGCAGTATAAGGAGAGTGCTAACGTGCAGTTCATGCACTTTTGATGTATATTTAACGTAAGGACCAGATATTAAGTTGCAATGTCAGTGTATTTGCATATTCCCCCCTAAAACCTAAACAAACAACAAACAAAAGAGAGAGATTGCTTTTAATGGTCATCTTGCTTCCAAACAAGAGGAACCTCTGCACTTTATTACTATCTCTTCCATACTGAAAAATTTAAAGACTTGTAAATATAACCATTTTGGTGTTATATTTTTTGTCATGCTACCTGCATGCATGGAGCTTTTCATTCTCCACTTCCTGGAAACAGTTAAACATAAATACTGACTAATAGTTACCTAAGATGCCGTAAAACATATTTACTTTGAAACATTATGTATGATATGAAAGTTTGCTTCACTGTAAAAGACCTTTTTAATAATTGGTTCATAACAGGATTTTGGGGTCTGGGAGGATGTTTGCTTTACAATAGGAAGTGAATCTGCTTTTACCCCAACAAATAGTAGTTTGTATGTGGGTCTGCTAATTAGTACGGTTATTTCCTCTTTTGTTGATGAGGCTTTAATAAATGTCAAGGGTACAGCCATGAAGATCTCCCAATTAGGCTTTGCGTTTGTAAAACCCAACCCCTTTGCTTTTGTGTGAAGATGACAGTTCCAACTGCAGCCTCAGCCTAACAGGGCTCAAGGGAAAGGATACTTCTCTGGTTTTATTGAAAACAAGGCCAGTTTGGCCCAGGGAGGATACCAGCACTGGTCACAGTGCAGAGCCGTTTTTAACAATGAATATTTACTAAGCTCTATCACTGCTGTCATAGTGGTTTTATTGTGGGGTTTTTTTTCCAGATCAGCAATAGACTTTAAAAAAAATTAACAGTAAATCAAAACAAATTATAGCATGTAAAATAGCTGTCAAAACCTAATCAGAGGATAAATAATTAAATGTGTTATTGCAAACTGTAGCGATCAGCTTGCCCTTCTATAATTTGCATTTTGAATGTCTTTCCTAAAAAAAGAAATAACGGGAGTGCACTCATATGTGCTTGTGTGCATGCGCGTGCGCGCACACACAATTAATCTTTGCCTAAGATTAATTGTTCTATCTCTGTAATATTCATTTGAGCTTACTCTTGCTTAGGTTAGCTGTTCTAGGCTTTTTATACGTGTACGAGCTTAACTATATTGCAAGTCAACATTAACAGATGGATTGCCCTAAGCAAGGGAAAACCACCACAACAAAATCTAGTGAAAGTGGAGGATTGAAGCTTTTTATTGTTAAGCCTTATTAAAACGTTGGCATGTGCACTGCTGTTAACTGTTTCATGCCTAGATCTAATAATATGTCCCTGGTATGTTTAATCTCCTACATTGTTTAGGTATGTAGAAGATAGAAGAAATTACAAGCTAAATTTTTTTAAAATAAAAATTAATGCAAGCATGAGATTGCTTCAACTCTGTTTGTGGTATCTTGCCAACAATATTGCTGAATTTGTTTAACTATTGATGAGGAGGGTATGGCAGTGCATGTATTAGGCTACCATGCATTCAGTTTTTGCATAATCTATTTTAATTCTGTTCAATTATATGCTCCCAGATAATGCAGATTTCTGGGTAGGTGGGCTTAAATGCAGTGACAGCTCCATAAAATTGTTCCAAATTAATATCTAATTAAAAAGACAGCATTTTTATTATGAGCCTGGATAGAATGCCAAGAAGATCTGTTTGATTTCATGAATATGATCTTTGTAACTTTACTGTTATATCAGGTGATAGGGTAGCTTATTAAAAATGGAGCATTTCAGGATGTCAGTAGTCCCAATGTATTTAGTGGCTAATAAAACATTCTTGAAGATTTGCAGAATACCAAATAAGAGCTACCAGTTCACTTTATAATTAGCAGTAAGTTAGCAATGCCCCCTTGTCTCTAAGGAAATATATGTAGTACCTGTACCTTTAGGCATGCACTCCCTTGTAGCTGGAATGCAAACAGGCATTTGGATTCTAAGTGTGGATTTACAGGGAATCCCTGTGTGTTAGCACTACTTTAAATGTTCGTATATCGAAGAAACCAAGTGAACGACTTCCCATGACTTTGCAGGATCTAACTACAGTATCTAAGGAGGTTTTAAAAACACTTTTGTGAAAGGTAATAAAAGCCATTAGACTAAACTTTTTTCTCGGTATTCTCAAACAGAAGAGAATTACCATTTTTTATTCTTTTTTTAAAAGCATATTGCAAATGTAGCTCTTACACTTTTATTGAAGTATATCCTAGTAACTGGACAATATGTAATTCAGCTTGCAGTAGGCATACTTGGCTTCTGTTCAACAAAGATAGCAAGTGTCAGGCAGGAAGATGTGTTCAGAATAACCTTACCTTCAGGAGTGCCCCATTTATCAATACCCCTACAATGGCCAGTAAAATAAATGACATAATCATTAGCTACAAAGGGCTTCCAGTAACTGATTACCCTCCTAACCTGAAAAAGGTGGTGAGAGTGGGCTATTCTGAAGACTTTTTTCTTCCTCCCGGGAACATAAAAGAAGAGAGGAAATGCTTGTGATAATGCAGTGCTAAATATACATAGTCTGTATAAGGTGACTGAACC